CAAAAAAAAGCCACAACTCTTCACTGCACAATACACCACAATACATAATATACGCAGTAATCGCGGAAAACGAATGCAGCGCACAGCGTGGCNGCGACACATACGCGATTTTTAATTGTTTCGCGTAAATCGCGCCCGCGTCGCGCTTGTCATCTTTTAGTTACAAAGACAAAAACGAGGGCAGCGCTGAAAAAAAGTGGAAGACAGGTTACGCCATGGAGGTCGATATGTCTCGTAAGTAATAAGTAAAATTATTATTTTTCTCATACTAAAGTGAATGACAAAGTTAATCAAAAGTCAAAGCAAAAGAAATATAAGAGAAAATATCTCGTACATTTTTGCTGCGTACATTGTGCGCTGCATGTGTTAATATAAACGTTGTTGTCGTGATTATTGTATATGTATTGTGTAGTAAAAAGTAGTTTTGAGTAATTTTGTCATCGATTGTTATCTTAAGAGAATATATTTATTTCAAGCAATTTAAAAGTTGTATATCGTGAATGCTTTCCAGCTACCTTTATTGCATTAAACTCATGCTGATATTTCCTNCTATTGGTTTTGTTATAATTAGATAGATAGATAGATAAGAATGAGCGGGGGGCTATCAAGACCCTTAGTGTCACCTAGATCTCATGATCCTCTGCGACTCCCGCTGGTTATTTAACGACCATACTGATTTAGCCCGGCATTTGCTGCCAGGCTGCACAGATGGCCGATCTTGAATCTTTTCAGGTTCTTAGGCTCCACAAACATGGAGCCTAAGAATCTGAACCTCTTGAGTACTAGTGAAGGGCAGCGGCACAGTATGTGCACGCTGTCCTCTTTTTCCTCCTTGCAAAATCTGCAACTACTCTCCTCAACTAGGCCTAGGTTGAATAAATGTGCCTTAAAGGCCCAATGCCCTGTGAGTAGACCGATACTCAATCTTTGTTTGTACTTATTCATTGTCAGTAATTCCTTTGTCCTACCTGGCAACGGCTGAGTCATCAGGTCTTTAGCTTGGCGGCAGCTCTTTAGTTTTTGCCAAGATGCTTTATGCTCCTGCTTCAGCCAGTCCTTGATGTAGTTTTTCCCTACAGCAAAGGGTACTCCAACCTTCTGGCAGGCTGGTTCCTCTAGGGTACCCAGTTTTGCCAGACTATCAGCAACTTCATTGCCTTGGATACCTTGATGGCCAGGTACCCAGATTAGCGTGATTTTGTTGCTCTTGCCCAGTTCATTTAGAGCTTGCATACAGTCCCAAACCACTGATGATTCAGTGGTGGTCTTAGCGAGAGCTCCTATGGCTGCTTTGCTATCTGTATAGATGTTGATCCTCCTAGTTTTTGTCTCCCTTAAGAGTAGGAGTCTTGCACATTCCAGGATGGCCAGGACTTCCGCTTGAAAGACCGTGGCCAACTTACCTAGGAAGAAAAACTCTCTGTGATTGGATCCCAGGCTGTAAATGCCTGCTCCAAAGCGGCCGTTTGCTCCAGATCCATCAGTGAACCATGCATGTTCGCCCGGTTNGATCTGAAGATTTTTATTTTTCCAGTCTGCCCTGGCGGTTAGGTTTATGAAAAACGCTTTTTCCACCTGGTACTTTCTGGATATTCTGTCTTGTTTATAGATGAAAGGGGATTTGTGGAGAAACCCGAGTCTGGTGTGGCCCAACCCGAATTGTTTCCACCCCCCCTGGCATCTTAGCCTGTATGCTGTGAGTCTGGCAGCACTGATGATTGTCAGACTTAGAGGTGGGATGCAAAGCGCCACCTCCAACGCCTCCGTTGGTGTCGTTCTCATAGCCCCTACTGCAGCTCTCAGGTAGTTACCTTGCAGGCTTTTTAGTAAGTTCTTTGACTCCATCTTTTCCACTCTAGGCCACCAGACAACAGCAGCATATGTTAAGTTCGGTACTAGTACCGCCTTGTATATCCATAGGGCAGTGTTTAGCTTGATGCCCCCGGATTTGCCCATGGCTCTCCTACATGCCCAGTAAGAGGCATGGAATTTAGNTCTTTTTATTTCAAGATGTTTTTTCCAGTTCAATTTGGTGTCTAANTGGACTCCCAAGTATTTAACCGACTGGACGTATTCTATTTCCTTGTGCNAGAGTCTTAGCGGCTCTATGGCTTCAGGTTTATATTTCCTGGTGAAAATCATGGCCTTGGTCTTTGCTGGATTCACCTTAAGACCTTTTGATTGACACCAGTCTTGCGTGATCTTAAGGGCTTTTTCCATAGTCTCCTTAAGTGTTGAAAG